TTAATTGTTTATCCAAGATCGGAATATTAAACATATCAAAGGTATCCATTAATCGTATGAAGGTTTACTTCCTTTGATGCCGTTCTATAGGCATATGCGTGCTTACACCTAATTTTCACTTCAATCGCTTAATTAAATAGGTTTATTGACGCTCTTTATTCAAGTATAAAAATCTGTATATTACCTTCAAACTGTAAGGGCGAGAAGTATACGAACATATGATTTTGGAATAATCAAGCTTTGGCAACTCTTAAATTAAGATAGATAATTAAAAATAATAATTAGATAAAACCTGCAGCTATTTGTTTGTCTTTAATGCATAAAACTACTGAACAAATCTAATATAAAATGAGCAGTCACAAAGCAAATAAAAGCACAAGTAATTGACATGGGAAGGGCCCACCTGTACCTTTTTTTAGTGGCTTGAGTAGATCAACTGAGCCAACAAGCCAGGATTGAGAGAATCGACTTGCTGGGTTCACTGCCACTAAGCAAAGAGCAGCCATACAAAGGCTAATTTGGGCCAGTACAGCTGGAGGCCCAGGAGCCACTATTTGAGTCATGTGCTCTTCCAATCCCTCCTTCGAATATGCAGGAGTGGCTAGATTAGAAGCTTCATTCAAGCCGATCTGTGCTACAGGAAGCCGCTTTGGCTGCTGTCTGTCGAAGAAATTTAAATCGGATGAAGTTACGGAGGGAGATGGTTGGGTTGGCGTAGCAAATACAGTATCAATTTCATGAGCATCAGCGAAGGAGGTATGGTTTGAGAACGAGGCTAGCCGAGGCAGGACAAGGGGATGCTGGTGAGGAGTAAGATGATTTTGCTGCACTATATGCGGTTGTTTGGGGATTTGTAGCTTTGCCTGTTGAATCTGGATATGAGAGTGATCCTGCATGCCCACATTCGCAAGTCTTGCTGGTCCGGGTTTAGCAAGATTGGCCGGATGGACGACTGGGAGAATCGGTGGAGAGGCGCAAGAGGCCGAGTTTAAACATGATCCAGGAGTCGGCAAAACCAGATTGCTTGAAATTTCGTCGACCCCACAACTAAGCCTGCCAGTTGGAAGTGAGGTCTGGGACAATAGAGGTGCCAAAGATGTAAAAGCATTGGAAGCCGCCGACCCAGTCAATCTCAAAGACGGATCAG